AAAAAAAAAAAAAAAAAAAAAAAAAAAAAAACAGACCCATGAGGCTTCGAATCCTATCTGGGGTGAGTTGTAGATCCCAATATTAGCGATGGGCTGTAAGGGTGGGAAGCGCAAATGCATGACGGTGGAGACGAACAATCGTACTTCAGGCGGCTGTTCGCGACCTTTCTACCAAACTAGCTTTGGCTGGAGAACATGGTTTAGTTAAACCGGGATCGTAGAATCTTGACCATGAAGGGTCGTAATCCGTCCCCACTGAAAGGATTGAGATCCTTTTGATAGACCAGTCATTCTGGGGAATTAGACTTTGGTCTCGTCGAGATTCCAAGTCATTACCCACGACTCAAGTAAAAGACGCTCAGGGGACAATTATTTATTTACGGAATATTTTTCCTATACACATCTTCTCTCTTTCATCCTTTTCTAGTTCTGTCGTGCATTTCCTGGTCCTGAACTAACATGTATGTACAGAGTACGTACTTCCGTAGCTGTTTATACTATGGGCTCCCCAGATGATCTTCTTGCTAGCGTACCATCCTTCCCCTTCCTTAGCTTAACCACCGCCCCCGGAAGATACAATATCCTCGGGTAAACCCAAAAGCCAAGAAGTAAGCCTTATACGAGGTGCGGGAAAATCAAATAGGGAATACCATCGCAAGGTGAATAGCTACAATCATTGTGGATACGTATAAGTTCTCACCGAGGGTTCCCCTAAGTGGAAAGAATCGACCCATACACAGTACCGTAAGCCTGGCCTTTGAAGATCACCTGTGACTTTCCTTGCCCGTGATGTCTTATGATAGGCTATCTAATCTACCTGTAGGTACGATATAGTGCTTTTCTCCGTGTGCAGCGAGAGGTTAGATTAATCTAGGATTATACGCCGATGCTGTACGTTGGATGACACGAACACAGTTCTCCACATATCACTACATGTTCCAGATCCACGTAGACCTTCATGAGATGTATGTAGGGTTACCTTACGCTGCGTCACACTGTCCGCTATGAGCTCTGCCTGGTATACGAAATCCAGTATATTCTCCTCTTAATGGAACGACTATCATCCCTTGGGATCCACGTCATTAGTGGCATGATATACCTGCTATCCACCAAGCCATCTTGAAAAGAAAAGTGTAAAGTGTAGACTGTAAACTTGATAAAAAAAAAATAAAAAAAAAAAAAGAAAAGAAAAAGAAAAAGAAATACGCATGGCCTGACGATCGTACGCATAATAGAACGAAACCTGGCGTTGGGCATGGACAGTGGATCCCTAACGTTAGTGCTTCCTACAGTTTACCATCGTCTACTTGTCGCCAACTGGCGCAGCCGCTGAGAATCAAGAACAAGAACAAAAGAGAGATAAGCCAATATGGAATACATGGGGCCAGGATGACTACAACGTCATTGTGCTGCGACTGGCACAGCTTTTTCCTCTGTAAGTTAAACCCAACGACCTGGTCATTGGTTCTCTTGCAGTCCACTGCACTGCATAGCTTTTGGGGAGGGGAGGGAAAAAGGGTCATGTGTCAAATCACAACCCTGAACTGAAGTCTGTTGCCCCTCGTATTGTTCAAATTGCCATGATGATTTGCCAACACGATGGACGTCAAGTTCTGCCTATCAACACAGTCGAAGGAGCTTGGCCGATGCCACACGCTCTTTCCAATGGTGTGGTAGCGAGTCTGACATGGACTAAACAGCGATTCGTAATCGATCGATCGTATGAGGGGATACGATACGCGCGTGGCCCAGAAACCCCAAGACCAGAAACCAACAATCAAGGTGGATGATGAACGGAGAGCTCTCTATCTACTAGCTAACTAGTGAATGTATGCATCTTTAGTAATGGTGTCGCCAAGCGGACGAAGTTGACTGACCGATTGATTGACCATCGCACTAGTGGGGTGTAGTCGAGGTTCCCAAGTCCAGCCCCAGACCTTTTCCTCTCATGAATTTGTTCTGAAGAGGAAAGGATCTGAGGGAAACCCTGGATGTTGATGTCAAATGCTGAATGATGGACAAGGAAACGATATCCTCTCCTCTTGACTCGTTTATCATGCTCCTTCCATCCCGTCTCTTCTTTGGGCGTTATCGAGTGAAAATCGGGGGCGTCATTGGCTGCATATCCGAGTAACAGGCACAGGTGAGTTAAACCTCCCATACCCCGCATTGCGTTTGCTTTTACTTCTGAATTCAGTCGTTCAAAATAAGATGAGGGGTGGCTTGAGTTTCTCTTGTCACACGCGGAAACGGAAAGGAATGAAGCGATCCATTCACCGACTGCCGCGCCCATCACTAGATCCAAATTCTCCTGCACGTCGACCCCCCCAGGGTACCTTACCATCTTTCTTAGTGGAAGTAGGAACAGAGATACCGATGCAGCCAGCTTCTGAGCTAATGGGAAGTGACTACGACGACGGGAGTCCGGCAATCAGCTTCACTCCTCCCCAGATGTGCATATGACTCGCAGTACCTTCCCGCAAGTCGACTAGACACTCGACGGACCATGTTCTCCAATTGCGACTACTGCATCATAGGTTTCAAATCACAGAATCATGTGTCCCTTGGCATTGGAATGAAGTTGGGACTCCAGTCGTGCCGCGGCATTGTCACGGATCATAGGATTACTCCGCCCTTGAAACCGGTCCATTGCTTCATCGTGCATAAGGCCGGGGAGTGGAGTGAGAAACTAAGCACTGGAGAGGGATGCCTTATGGTTTTGGCGGTGTTAAGACATACATACATACATACATACATACGTGTGTGTTCCATGCAACGTTCGGTAGGGCGGCGCCCAGGAAGAAAATCTCCGATTTGCATGTTTTTCGTCGCAACTTCCCACTGCAATCCATGTCAACACACTACGACTAGCCGTACTCTAGCTAAAACGGCCCGGGTGGGCTTGTGAGGGGGGTGGCCGATTAAAAAAAATATATTAATGATCGAATGATAGGTACAATAGTTCCAAAAAAAGAACTAAATAAATTACAAAAAAAATTAAAATAATAAATAAAAAAGACGAATTGGCCCTACGGAGCCAAGAGTGGAATTACACGCCATCGAATCCTGTACCTTGTGGCGGTTCAATCGAGAAATCATGACAGTGGCCGTAATTAATCAGTAGTCATGGTTAACTAATCCATCCATCACTGCACAATTCTGTGAATGATGAAAGATTCAACCTCAAACACCGAATCCCGCCGAAGAATTGTCGGTGAGTAGTCAGTCAGTCCGTGGACAAGTACCCATGGAGCACCTTGGCTTTTTGTTTTTCTTTTTCTTTTTTGATTCGATGTTCTCATCCTTCTTCGAATTTCATTGTGGTCATCTTCGGTCAAATCCCCAGCATTGTGGTAACCGTTTTCAATTTTTTGGCCCCCTTGCAGCCACTGGTGCCAGACTCCATTTCGCGGGATTTCGCGGAGAAACATTGGATGATGGTGGACTTTGAGGCATTTGAGGCTCCATCGGCACTGACTCAGTCAGTCAGTCATGTGTGATCGTGGTTCATGACTAGTAATTCGGATTTATCTTCTTTGCCTTCTTTCCCTTTTCCCCATACCTCCTCGGCCCCCAGTTGGATTGGTTTCGAAGTGCGGATATCAAAATACTAGCCAAATTACAAACAAGACCGCATTTCGTCTGACATCCAGACTCCTAACCAAGCCGACTAAGTTTCTTAGCCATTCGCCATGAACTCGTGCTGACATGGATCTTCCTTCGGAGTGGCTGTGTTCCATCCATCTATTTGTTCTTTATGCAGGTAGCCTCGCTTCTATGCTGACGGGCTTCTGGATCGATGGCCAGACTTTCTTGGTTTCACTCCTTCTCGTTCGCGGATATTGCACCGGGGTCGGGAGTCTTGGCAGAGTGGCTTTTGATATTGACCACCAGCTGTTCGTAGAGTTCTTCGCCCCTCGTGTATTTTCTTCTTCTTTTCCCTCGTTTTCTCCTACTTTCAAAGTGTCTGTCGCTCTGTGGATCTTTACTTCGTGAGGACCTCGTGGACGGACGTGCTAACATGTAGATTGTTCGGTGACCGCATCCCCGCTCATAGGGCTTTGTCTTGTCCCAACCCAACAAATGATTTCAGTCATATGTAATGCCTTGATTCGAATTAGTTAGTTAGTTAGTTATGCATTATACTGTTTATTAAGCCATCGGTCGGAATAATACAACGAGGTGTATACGTTATCCAATCCACGCTGACCGCCCCGAGGATATGTCGAAGACTATAAGCCGGGGGCTGATTCATATCGCCCAATGTTTTATGAGTCGTTCTTGTACTGTGTGAACACATCCCTGGGAGGAGCCCTGGCAGCGATTCGTGCTCAGAGATCTTCGCTGTCAAGCGCGATTGCTGACGGCCATAAGATCCGATATTATGAACCAGCATCCGTTCCCCCTTATAGCAGAACTGTCCTAACTGTCGGTACATCGCTTAGAGGGCCAATACTACTGTGCCCTTTACTTCTGTTAATGTCAGGGGTAGAGCTGCATGTGGCGTGCTGGAAGCCAGTTATAGACCTGGGCATCTGATAACGTGGTGAGTTGAATGTCACAGTAGCAGATGTTTGCCTGTCCTGTTTCATGGTAGCATGGAAGGGAAGCCATCCGACATGGTTAAGCATCCTCAAGTGACCCGTAGTCATTGAGAACCGGACCTGATTGCTGGGGGTATCCCGAGTAAGACCAATCTAACTCTTTCAGTTCGCAGCTGCAGATAGGAGAGAAGATGCATGCAGGGAAGGCCATTATTGATGCGTTTAGAGCATGTGGGAGCATCGAGGATCTCGGGACCAGGTACGGAGTATATACAGACTATTTTCTCTGCGCATCCGGACTTGCATAGTCGGAGGTACCTTGTTCAATAACGAGAACGTTGTTAATTGAGCTATATACCGTCGCTACTCCGGCCATACCGCTGTTTGATTACGACAACGCGGTGTCTTGTTCCGCCATAGGAGTGGCCCCGAGAAGTAGTACTCCGTAGCTTATGTTGATCTTCTCATCCCCTGGTGATTGTTCTGGAGTCGAATGGGATGTGCTTCCTTACCGCTATTGTTCTGACAGCTTTAATATCTGCATTATACATGGCTTAGCTACTAGTTTCGAACTTCAGACTCAGTACGGGCATCCCTCGGATCAACTGATTTTTTGCTCAGTGGCCCCTGTGAATGTCGGTGTGTACTCTCGAAAGGTGAAAAGAGATAATTGATCCTATCTAACCACTGAATTCTGCTTAGGAAACCACTGGACTCAGGACTCCTCAGGTGGTAGACCTAAACAGAAAACTATCTATTGATATATCTTTCTAGGGTTGAAGCCACATGGATTTCTTAATTGAATAGTACCGTTAATTTTCAAGATAGCGATAGTTTTCAATATTGCTCGAAGAATATCTTCAAGGGTACGCACTGGAGGCGAGGCTAGTTACGATCATTATGACAGTACCGAGGGCTCTGGTGTCCTCGACATCATCCACGTCAACAGCACGTGCCTCTTCGCCTACGACGGTGCACACTCTCGAATCCGCTCTGCCTTTGGTATTCCCATCCATGTCCCGAAGAGCACATATCCCATGTGAGCCCGCTATATCTCGGTCACCGTGGCGGCAGACTGGAGAAAGTACCGGAGGAGGATGCTACACGTTATTTTCCAAAGCAAAGAGCTACAGGTTTTGATTGTCTACGACCGCACGTCAATCTGGGTCTTGATGTTCGGAATATCTCACGATGATCCCGTCGAGAAGTTCACCGAAGAGTACTGTCGCAGCGCCATGGACAAAGTAAGTATTCCTTCCAAGTGCTTTTCTCTCCTGTTGTAACTAACGTCGCCCATTTTCACCTTTAAGGCTATTGGCGAGCAGACGGACTACGAGATAGCCAATATTTGCGCTTGGGAGGCGCCCCTTCGCATCTCTGACTTCTACGGGTCTCCTGCATTTCCAAATGCTTTCGTCCTGGGCGACGTCACACACTCATTCCCCAACACGGGTGGCCTCGGGGCCAACACAGACTCGCAGAGTCCGCCGATGTACATACATAACCTAGGTTGGAAGATTCATGCCGTGAAGGAAGGATAGGCTGGGTAGAGCCTGACACTCTACTCGATTCGTATACTTCGGAAAGAAGGCCGGTGGCGAAAGTCAGCTGTGGGATTAGTGACCACAACCAATTCCGCATCACCAAGATCTGTGAGATGGTGAGCAGTACAATGTCAAATCCCCAGACTGACTGACAAGACCCGGAAAAGCGAAAGTCCTCCAAGACACCATCAGCGCCCAGTGGTCGTTTAGTGATCGTCTTAACCTCCACCTGGGAAATATATCTACGGCCAGCAGGACCTCAGATTCGCGCCTCGAGGAGAGGAACCAAATCAAGTTCTCCTGGTATATTAGCAGTTGGAGCGGGATTTCTCCGATCTAGATAGGCATTTGCCACGCATCGTCAGTTTGACGAGTGATTGGATCTCCCTCGTCGTTCGGCCCGACCATCGCATTCTCGGTTTTGCGGCAACCATGGAGGTTGATGAGATAACCACGAAGAGCTTGTAGATATCTGGAGTCCGGTGTGGAGCCTGGATCAAACGCCCTGGTTAGACGACATCCCCCGTATGCGATGATTGTTTTGTACCCAGGACACGCTATCCACGTTCCGGAGAGACCAACGCCCTTGCTCGAATCGTATGAGCATGACTAGAATCTACTTCCCTTGAAAATGTCCTCTAAGCATAAGCCTTAGCGCATCTAGTTGACTGGCATCGAAGCCATGGCTGTCTCTAGCTTTGTCCGGTTTCAAGACGAGCAGGTTGCCATCCACTATGGGGAGCCCATGCAAGCGAACCTGATCGGCTATCTCGGAAATGCCACAATCAAGATACTGGAAGGGAATCGTTGACGGGCTGAAGCCATCAGATGCAGAGGCAAAAGTGGCTAAGGTGGGCTCCCAGCCCAGGATCCATAGAGGTCTTCTACTGATCACTTCTAGTCAATGCTCTATGTCTGCTGGAACGCATCCCGATCATTCCCTGCGCAGGGACTCTTAGAACAGGCACCCTCATCATGACAGTAACCCCTAGCGGAGAGTTCTATTTTTTCTTTTCCTTATTTCCTTCTGTTTCAGGGAAAGCTATGTTGCTCATATAATGATTTAGGCGTTGGATTGTTCATGAATTGATATGGAGTTCTTCCTCCCTGTCTTTCTCTTTCTTACTGGAAAGCCTCAATTCCTTAAGGGACTCTCCCAAACCGTGAAAAGTACCGCGACTGGTATCGCCAGTGTTGAAAGGCATTAGGAGATAGATAGCAGCTTATAGCGCAGAGAAGTAACGGAAGGCAATAAAGAAGTGAAAGACGAGGTGTATGGGTGGGTATTTTGTGTCCTTGTGTGTAGCATAGTACATATGTCAAATTTGTTAAAAGATTCGCTCCAACCAGGGAGCCTTTCTTCTATTTCTCTAACAGGTGTAGATAACTATACTGGACTCATATTTTTTGCAAAGATATTGAAATAGACAGAGACTTCTACTTGAGAGAGAAATGGTTCTCTACTTCAGTTTGTGATGAAAGTCTGGATGAACTCCCAAAAAGGGATTAGCCACACATAAGGTTAGGGAGTTAATCCCGTTCAGGACTAGCGCACAGGAACACAACGCTGATGAATCTCACTTAGTTCTCCATCAATCTTCCTCTTGACGGACGCCATACCAACAAGTGGCCCATTATGTTCAACTACGGAACGGACGAGGATCTCCAGGACAAGGTCTATATCCTTGTTACTGGCGCAAACAGGTATTGCATCCCTCTACCCGCAAGTCCCAACTCATCTCCCGCACCAATCAACCCCTATATCACGTTCAGCTTCCTGACTCGATCTACAGTGGTCTCGGATTCTCGATATGCTGTCGTCTAGTCGATGAATTCCTCAGCTCTCCTCAACGCACAAACCAATCCCTAACCCTCATCTTCACCACCCGAAGCCCCAAGAAAGGGAACGATACCCTCCTCCGCCTCCAGGACCATCTCCGCAAAACCTCCGCAACACCCGCCCCCACCAGAAAGGTAAACTTCATCCCGGAGAGCGTAGACCTAAACAACCTCGTCTCCGTCCGCGCCCTTTCCCGCCGCCTGAACGATGAATGCCCCAAACTCGACGCCATCGTGCTCAATGCCGGCATTGGCGGCTGGTCAGCCCTGAACTGGCCGCGAGCCATCTGGGGCATCTTCACCGACCTCGTCCACGAAGTTTCTTGGCCCTCATACAAGATCGCCCCCGCTGGCATGGTAACAGACTTTCAGACCACAACGCTAGCAGCCCAAGAGCCCCGTCTGGGCTCCGTCTTCTGCGCAAATGTGTTCGGCCACTACATGTTAGCGCACAATGTCATGCCCTTGCTGCGACGGTCAGGACAACCCAATGGCCCCGGCCGCATCATCTGGGTCTCCAGCATAGAAGCCACGGTGAAGATGTTCGACATCGATGACATCCAGGGTCTCCGGACTTCAGTGCCTTACGAATCTTCCAAGGCGTTGACCGACGTCTTGGCGCTAACGGCCGATCTCCCCAGTACCAAGCCCTTCGTGAAGAGTTTCTACTCCGTCGACGATAATAGAACATATAACAGTGGATTTGGAAGACCTAGAATAACTAATGATGATAACTCGGCCCCGAATACGTACCTCTCTCACCCCGGGGTCTGTGGTACGAGTATCATCCCGCTCGCCTGGCCGCTCTTTTACTCAATGCTTGCTGTCGGCTTCCTTGCCCGGCTGCTCGGGTCCCCCTGGCATACGGTGTCGACTTATCTGGGCGCCTGTGCTCCTGTATGGCTGGCGTTGTCCGCTCAGTCTGTCTTGGACACGGCTGAGTCGCTGTATCGGCAGAATGGCGGTGGCAGAGCGAAATGGGGTTCGTCCAGCAACTGGCTTGGCAAGGATACTGCGGCATCTACTGAAGTGGACGGATGGGGGTATGGTGGTGTTGTTGGCCCCGCTATTGTGGATGAGGATCGGTTGCGTCGGCGCAAAAGAGGCGCGGTGGACCTTACAGCGGAGGCGAAGGAAGACTTTGAGGAGCTGGGGAGAAAGTGCTGGCAGAAAATGGAGGAGCTGAGAATTGAGTGGGATAAAATTCTTGATTTGGATGAAGTAAGCCCTGATGATTTTGGTCTGGGGTTCTGATTTCCTAGAAAAGACATCTCGGCTTGTATATGATACGATAGATACCATGTCAATTTTCGCATGTATAATTTCTTGTGCAAGGTGCAGGCCGTTCGCTAATCCCTTCTTTCAAAGATGCATAACTGCATTGTATTCTTTTGTTTTCCTGATTCTGCCTCCCATATTTACATTCCTTAAACCCCGTGTCCACATACATCATTAAGATCCGATAGAGTATTTGCCCAATTGCCCACCATCCCCTAAGGAAGCAGACACGGTGCAACAAAAAGCACGAACGTGTTAGCAAGACTGAAATGAAGAAACACAGGATTAAATGGTTTCAGAGCAATGTCAAAGAAGATAGAACATAAAAGAAAAGATGCGACGCAAGGCAGTCGACGGGTCGGCGGCAACACGTAGTGAAGGAAACATAAGATTACTAAAAATCTGTAGAGGGCAGAGCTTTCGCCATCAAGGCATTCAGCGCCTGCGTACGGTGGAGCAGGTTAAGGAAATGGAATAAAAGATTTATGCAAGAAGGGGGAAGGTAAATAGAAAGGTGTCAGGACCGCCGTGTATTCCAAGGATTGGTCATGGCCTTGACCCAGAAATCCTGTCAAGCTCAGGCCTGCTTGAAATCAATCGAAGTAAAAATAAACCGACTCCGGTTCCATGCATCGGGCGGCTTTGAGGTGCAGGCGACTGGAAGCAAAGTATTTGAGGACATGTCGACATGAGAAGAGCGGGTTTACATAATGATTGCGGGAACTGGTAGAAAGATTAGAATCAACACGCGTTGAATAAGGGAGGTGACCACTTACCATCAACGTTCTGTTTGATGCTCTTATGAGGAAGGATGGATCCACCATTAACATAGACTTCGTCTGCGATAGTAACGTCGTCACCCAGCACGGTGACATTCTCCAAACGAGCCCATCGGCCTACGGAGCTATTCCATCCGACAATGGTCGACTTAACCCAGGCATGGTCCTTGACCTTGCTGTTCTCTAGAAGCACACAACGCTGCAGACGAACTCCATCACCGACCACAACGTTGGGTCCAATGACTACATTGGGGCCAATGCGGCAGTTCTTGCCGATCTTGGCGGAGGGGTCAACCATAACATTGCCACCGTACACGTAGGGTTCGGAGTTGGGTGCAAGTAGCTTGGAGTTGCGCTTGGCGAGGGAAGTGAGGTATAGACAAGTGCCGCTGAGGAAGTCCTTCGGTTGACCAACGTCCATCCAAAAGCCCTCCAAGTCAAAGGAGTGGAGCTGTCCATCCTTGCAAATAGCGGGGAATGTCTCCTGCTCAATGGAGGTCGGGCGCAGCTCAATGCGATTCAGCACACTAGGATTCATGATATAGATACCGGCGTTGATACGGTTGCCAACGAATTCAACAGGCTTTTCGACAAAGCGGTCGATGCGCGAAGGGTGGTTGGGCTTGTGAACAACGACACCATACTTGGAGGGCTCGTCAACCTTGGTAACAACAATGGTACCTTCGTCCCCATGGTTCTTATGGAACTCAGCCAGCTCCTTGAAAGGATAATCACAGATGACGTCGGAGTTTAGAACAAAAAATGGAGAGTCGTCCTTGCCCAAAATCTTCTCCGCTAACTTCAGGGGGCCGGCAGTGCCCAGGGGCTCGGACTCGACGGAGAACTCGATCTTAACATTGTATTGTTCCTCATACTAGTTACGGTAAGCATGAGCATGGGGGCTGACTTGTTTTCGTGAACAAACCTTCTTGAGGGCCGAAACCATGACATCTGGACGGTAGTTCACAGCCAGGACAATATCCGTGACACCAGCAGCAGCCAAGCTCTCGACTTGGTGCAAAATCATGGGACGGTTCCCAAATTCCACCAGGGGTTTGGGAAGGGTCAATGTCTAGTTGAGCGATCATATCTGTCAGTAGGGGTTCGTAGGGAGCCGGTATGCTGTACGTCACGATCGTCCGCGGGGGAGTTGCTCACCAAGGGACGGAGACGGGTACCAAACCCTCCGACAAGAATGAGAGCTGCAATCAAATGAAGTCAGCAAAGACGAGTGGATACTGTACTGAGAGGAGCACACACCCTTCATGATTATATAGTGGGACGAAGTTAAGAGAGGGAAATGTTAATATGGTGGTATATTGTAGGAACCGGCGGCGACGGTTGTTTTGAACGAGTGACCAGATAAGGGGGGGTAAAGCGAAAGCAGGGGGAGGGGGGAATGAATTAATATGCAATCCCGTACGAGGGAGAGAACGATAGTAGTGGAAAGTGAAGATGGGGACTGAGATCAATCGGTCGAGGGAACGGCCGTTGACAGATCAAACGATGTCAACCAGAAGAAGAAAGGAGAAGGAGGAGGAGAGGAAAATAAAGATCAATTATAACAAGCAGTGAACACCTGGCGGTTGGAGACCCAGCATGTATGTATGGGAGATGTACCTGTATTAGATGCAACATTGCTTAGGGGGTGCCGGAGATGGTATGGTAAGGTATCAGGTACCACCAAAAAAAGAGCTCCGCCTTTGCACGTTTGCAGCCAGCGCCACCATGTGCCGTGCTCGACGAATTACAGTACAGTATTGCCGGTACAGCCTCTGGGCCTAGATCTCTTTTGGGAACTCGGATCAGGTGCTTCGTGGGGCCATTACACCCCCTAAATTTAAGGACATCCTGTAAGGAGCAAAGCTCTTACCCAACACAATAAAAAAAAGGGAGACATGCAAATTATACTCCAGATGAAGGAAGGACGACTTTTTATGTACAGCATGGTGCTTATCCTGTGAACAGATGCAGATGCGGATAAAGTTTATTAACGTCCTGCAATCTAAGGGACTATAATTTCCCTACATAGCGTTGCACTAAGATGTGATAGGTACTACTGCGAAGAGTAAAGTAGTATGGATGTACCACTTAGTACCTCGGGATCCTGTCCCTGTATCTCCTGATCAGCTCTCAGGAATCACGTTAAAAATGCGCTTCTGGTGGCATTTCTGTAATCCTACCTTTACTCCGGAGTACAGAGGTTAAAATACAGACATACCTCCTCCTACAGAGTTGTTCTAATTATAACCTCGACGAATCCTCTGGCGTATCTGGAGGTAAACTCGGCCCACGTTGCGTGGGCTCCCTTGCATCACCGCCTGCTAAATCCGTCGTGGTGCTCACGAAACGTCTGATCCACTCGCGCACCTTTCTTGCTTTGACTCGCAGTAGTTCATCGTTCTTGGCTGTCGTATCATGGTTCATGAGACTCCTTGCACTGTACATACCACCCGCATCTGTTACGTCGACCCTCTGTCGATGGAGTAGATCGACTTTGGTGATCCCTTTCCTGAGACTCTGTCCGTAAACCCGTTCCCGGAAGGAGCTCAATCCTACCATGCGCAACAAAACAATGTCTCGCGGCCGTAAAGTCTCCAGCATTTTGCGAAGCTCATGGCTCTCGTCATGGTGACCTAGGGCGATCCTTTTTTCCACGGGGGGGAGCCAGAACGTAACTCCGAATCCGCTTCTTGTGTCATCTCCCACTACTATTTCGACAAGATCTAGTTCGTTCTTCCATCGCCGCGTCACAATGCGACGCGGTGGTCGAATTGTAGCAATTCCGACGATGAGATTCACCGTCATAGTTTGGGGCACAATAGATGTCAGGTATGCAGCGCTCGGAATGTTTTGAAGATCTGTAATACCTCCTTGGACGGGCGACTCCAACCCAAGGGATTCTTCTGTTGCAATAGACGTCCCTGTGCTGTCGGCCCCTATGTCACTTTCTTTCGCAGAATCCCCGAGATGGACGCCCGGGGCAGTAATCTCAGATGTCTCATGCACAGTGAAAGAATGGTCGTAGAACTGGGTGAGAGTTGAATCTTCTGGGGCAGTTGATAAGCTGCTAGGCGCCACAAGATCTTGAGTTGTAAAGAAGTGAGTGCCTCTATCTATGCCTAGTCCTGGGTTTTCGTCAGGTGCCTCCACAAATCTCTCATCCTGTAATAGCCTCCATTTTACAGGGTTGGGATCTGTGAAAAGCAAATCTTCTCCATTGTGAATATCCGAACTCTGAAACGGAGAGACGGGTGCTGTGAGAAGCTCCTCTTCGTTCCATTGGAGGCTTCGCATCGTGGGGGCTCCCATGAGAAAAATGATCTTTCTGGACATAATTGTGGGCGTTTAACTGGAAAAAATGGCCATCAAGCAAGGAACGGTGGCGCTTTGCTTCTATAAATGACGAACTCGCCAGATGTGAATAGATTCCAGCCTATGGATAACGGGAGCATTGAGATCAAGGGCTTAGTGTCTTGGTTATATGTCCGAAAACCACGCGCTTTGTGGTAATAAATAGACATTGAAGTAGTTGGCAATGACGAGGGTCTATTGTCCAGTGGTTCTGAAGGAACCGATCTGAACCATGGGTTGCTACGAAATAGACCTTCATGATTTTACGATACTGTAACACGAATTTCTCTGACAAGCAAGCATGACAAAATCAGAACTGAGAGGGCAAATTTATGATTTTAGTAAAAAGGATACAAAAAAATATATTATGCCACGATATGACGCCAAAGTTGCTTTACGAAACCGGTCGCTGCCTGAGGCATATTGAAGCCACGTGATTGCGCTCCCCCTACGGCCGAGCAATCAAGCCGAAGTGGCAACGTTCCGCCAGGTGAATTTCGCCGCCGCATCCACCGACGAAGGTGCCATCATCGTTATCGTTCATCCATCCGACGCTTTTATCTTAGCCATCATCTGCTCCTGATCTGGTCAGTGATGGCATTTGTGATCACGAAGAGATAACCCGCATCTCAACTAGTCTCTGTTCTCTTATATACCTCCGAGGGGTAGATCCTGCTCCGCGGCTTTGTGCCGCGCCTTCGGTCTACCATGGCCTTTCAACTTCCGATTCCTAAGCCTGTAAGCACCACCTGTCTTCGTGCTTATAGGACTCCTTTCTCTAACTCTCCGACTACCAACCAGAATATCTCGGCTGCGACATCGGATATCTGGCCTTCGATGTCAAAGCTTCTCAATGCGCCTTGGAAGAACGTCGAGCGCAGCCCTGCTACCTCCGGTCCCGCCGTCTCCCAGGGTCTCTCTCATCGCACGGTTGGGGAAGTAAGTTCAACGGCATACTTTCTAGGCCTGATTTAGCGTGGTGAATGGAACTTACTGACGATACTTTAGGGTTTGAATCATGTTTCCCTACCAGAGTTCCTCCACACGGTGCCCTCCGAAGCCTTCAGGCCGGGGGTACGTAGCAAGCCTGCGCACCATATCTGGTCACGTTCTTTCTCCAAAGGTATGCCTCTTTCTTCCCTTGTATCACTTCCTGTAAGTATTCTTAACACGATGGGCCTTTGTTAGAAACTACACCTTGGGCGGTGCCGTCTCTTGTCTCCCGTCAGACCCTTTCGCCGTCATTTCGTTCCTACTCAACGTTCACATCTTTGGACCGTCTCCGCCACGCGCCTAGTGTTACAGGGCTTTCAAGGTTGCAGCAACAGCGTTTTATATTCGGAGGACCATCCCACGGTTTGTTAGCGCAGAAAGAGAAAACCGCGAACAGCAACCCCAATAGTGCAAACGCTCAAAATGCTTTCTACCAGGCCCTTCTTCGAGCCAACATGCCTGCGATTGTTGTTGAACGGTATAAAAGTGGTCATTTTGCTACTAATGCTCTTTCGGAAGCGATTTATTTTAAGGCCTTACAACGTGTTGGTGGAACCGATGCTGCTGGATTGTCGGCCGCGGCCTCGGCCCAGGTTGGTAACTCGAATCTTAATTCCGAACAACTCCAAGCTATCGGACAGGCTGTTGCGGCTCAGAACCATGGCGGTCATGTCGGTGTGTCGGCAAAGTCAAACGGCACCGGTGCCAAAGAGGCTCCATTATACGTCGTCGTAGAGGAGTCGCTTGGCAGCGCCGTATTCCGATGGGTGAAGTTCTTGTTATATTTTGGCTTCTTCACGTACATGTCTCTCGTCTTGGTTACTATCCTTGTGGAAACTACTGGTGTTTTGAAGAATATCAAGGGTCCTCAGAACAATGAAGCTCAACCTCAGCAGCAGACCGTCCGATTCACTGATGTGCATGGTTGCGACGAAGCTAAGGAAGAACTCCAGGAGCTGGTTGAATTCCTGCTGAACCCCGATAGATTCTCCTCTCTTGGTGGCAAGTTGCCGAAGGGTGTGCTTCTTGTTGGCCCTCCTGGTACCGGAAAGACGCTGCTGGCTCGTGCCGTGGCAGGAGAGGCTGGTGTACCGTTCTTCTACATGTCTGGTTCTGAGTTCGATGAAGTGTACGTCGGTGTCGGTGCCAAGCGTGTCCGTGAACTGTTCACTCAAGCCCGAAGCAAGGCACCTGCTATCATCTTCATTGATGAGCTGGATGCGATAGGTGCGAAGAGGAACGAAAGGGATGCGGCTTATGTCAAACAGACACTAAACCAGCTTCTCACGGAACTTGACGGATTTTCGCAGACCAGCGGAGTGATCATCATCGCCGCAACAAACTACCCTCAGTTGCTTGATAAGGCATTGACTCGACCCGGTCGATTTGATCGACGGGTAGTTGTTGATCTTCCTGATGTGCGGGGCCGTATGGATATCCTCAAACACCACATGAAGGAAGTCCAAATCAGCACGGATGTTGATGTTGCTGTCATTGCGCGCGGCACCCCTGGTTTTTCTGGTGCCGACCTGGAGAATCTCGTCAACCAGGCTGCCATCTTCGCAAGCAGAAACAAACAGGCAAAGGTTGGCCCGAGGGACTTTGACTGGGCTAAGGACAAAATCATGATGGGCGCAGAAGCTCGCAGCCGGGTTATCCAAGACAAGGACAAGCTTCTTACCGCGTATCACGAGGCTGGTCACGCTTTGGTTGCCTACTTTTCACCCTCTTCTACGCCGCTTTACAAGATCACCATTGTCCCTCGTGGAATGGCTTTGGGTATAACCCATTTCTTGCCTGAGATGGATACGGTATCCAGAAACTATACCGAATACTTGTCTGATATCGACGTTTCCATGGGCGGCAAGGCAGCAGAGGAGCTTATATTTGGACCTGACAAGGTTACTAGTGGTATCTCAGCGGTAAGCCTCTGATAGCCATCATCATTTGGGACTATTTGCTAATCATCTGTAGGATATTCAACAAGCCACGGAGACGGCTTTCACCCTCGTAACGCGGTTTGGCTACTCCAAGAAACTAGGAAATGTCGATCTTTCCACCAACTATGACAGCTTGTCCTCTGAGACTAAGCAAGAAATCGAAAGTGAAGTTCGACGCCTTGTTGAGGAAGCCCGCATGCGCGCTACGAACATTCTGACCGAAAAGCGTCATGAGCTGGAATTGCTGACCAAGGCATTGATTGAGTACGAGACACTGACTAAAGAGGAGATGGAGAAGGTGTTGAAGGGCGAGAAGCTTGAGAAACTGGAATCGAAAGCATCAGCGCCGCTCAAACTGCCCGAGGCTTTACAGGCGGCCAGATTGAATCCGTCCACCTCAGCTGAAGCGCCGCCGACGTCGACTGCGTCGGATGTTAATTAGGCGGTTCTTCGATTCATCATTCTCCTAGTTTATAGGGAAAACCTCCGTTTCTTACTCGTCCTCTTTTACAACTCCTCTCCGTTTGTTGTGTTAAGTGCATCAAGGATGAAGATCCTTCTTGGGTGCTTTCATGGACCAGTTTTTTGGGCCGTTATATTTTTAGTGTATCCGGTGTTAACTCCTCGTTTTCTTTGTATTTTTCCTCCTACTCGATATCTATCCTTGATGGAATACTAAATAACCGTGCATATGGCATATGGCATATGGGTTTGGGAAGTGAGCGACGGCAAGCAAATGATCTGGCTGTATTGTAGTGTACATACATGGGTATCAATGAGAAACTGTATGTTAACCTGACGTTCTATATTCAGTCTATCGTATGTATATCCAGATCTTGCTCAAGCATGCGTGGAAACTAGACCAACGATCGCTCTCTACGCCAGTTAGACCCCATGAACCAGAAATAGGTTTGTATGTCCGTATACTCTGTACTGCGATGCTATTATCTTGCTAGCCTATCGTTTAACTGGAGTGTTTGGCTGTGTCTCGGCCGCTTTCCCGATACCGCCGCTTTTGTGAGGCAACACAAGAGCGCTGTGTGAGTGCTCTTGGACACTCACTGATCACTCACGAAGCTACAACCTGTGTGCAAAAAGCTTGGAGAAGGGAAGTCTCTGGGGCGCGTTCTCCGCGTTATTAGTATAACGCTCGGTGTGAAATACCGCCCCTTTCTTTCTCCCCAAAGAGGCATGGCCCTTGAAACCACTATAAAAAGAAGCCCAAAGCATCCAACCACGCTTACGTGATGAATTTGTCCGTAGTATCCTTGATGATCATTGTCTATCTTGGGGGTATACCGCGCGAGACGGTCAAGGCTTGTACTAAGCCAAGCCGCTAACCAGTCAGCCATTGATAGACGATATCTTTCTTACAATGTTTACCTTTTCAGAGAAGCCGTATGATCTGCCAATCGCAACTCATAATCAGAGTATCAACAACTAAATCTAGCCATGAGAGCTTTGAAAGAAGGGTCGGCCAGAAGCTGCGTCGCAGTCAGACGCTTCTCGGGTGAATAGATGAATACCTTCTGCATAACGGAGAGCACAAGTTCTCGTTCGGCCGGATCGGCATCGGGTCGATAGCGTGCAAGCTCTGATGCGAGGGTCCTCTTGGTATCAGGTGTTTGATTACGATCGTACCAGGAATCGAGGCCATCAGCAAAAACATAAGAACCTTTCCATTGCTCGACAGCTGGAATGGTTTGCTTTAGTGGCCGGGTGAGTGCTTCATATTTAGCACTCCTACTAAGATTCTGAAGAGGCGCCATTCCCCACATACAGTTTCTCTCATTCAAGTCTTGTCGACTATTCATCAGATAGTGACGATATGAGATATGTAGGATAACTTACCACGGTGCAGAATTCCAGCGTTGTGCAGAGTTTCCAACGCCTCTAGCAATTGCTTCGCAGCTGACATGCGAGTACTCATAGCAAATTTCATCACTGTATAACGGTCAAGACACGGCCCCATCAAAGGAAACACCATAACCCTATGGTGACAATCGTTTCCGTTTAGCAGAAAAGTGTCCGAATATGTCACACGGTGAGATCTATCCTGCACGGTCCGAATGATTTCATCTTGTATGTGTAGTTCGATGTCTCCACAGTCGCCAGTGGACAAGACTTTGACAGCGACATCTTTGTTTGTCTGGAGGTCAAGGGCTATCCAGACAGTAGAGAACCCACCAGCATCGATTTTGTGTTCAATCAGATATCTTTCATTGAGAACTTCTCCCAGGCAGATCGGATAGAAAACGTTTGGCGTTGACTTGGGACCATACTTATCCCACGGCTCGACAACAACTTCAAGCTCAAATTCTTCATAGTCTATGCTTACAAAGTCTCCGAAGTCTGCCTTGTCATCGTTCGCGAGTATTTGCGATGAAGCGTGGGTACTCGCGGATTCTTCAGAATCTATCGCGCCATTGTCCTTGGGTGTTCGTGGCGATGTGTCCGAGCTCACGGAGTCTTTAAAGCTGGTTGCGCCATCGTCCTTGGGATTTTGTGGCGGTGTCACTTGATCCATCATATCTGACCCCGACTCCTGGCCCAGGATTACTTAGAACTATGATTTTCGTATGTGAGCTTTGTGGCCCGGCACAGAATGGGCACTATGCAGTTGATGAAAATGGGTTGCACAGCCGATTGCTGGGAGATATTTCTGGTTGCAAGGAAGTGAAGGAACCCTAGGTCAGCCCTATGCAATGCCTGAGGTTCACTGTTGACACCGACTGTCAAAGTGAACTGGTAGCTATGGAGCTATGTTGTGACCTCTCAATAATTTTCTCTCAGGAAGGCTCTACTGTAATACCCATTGCTACCGATAGTTTCTCTATCGGACTCTGCATTTCACTGTTCTTTTTTTGGTCCCAGTCTGGTTTGTTTTCGGCAGAGCCGACACTAGAGTCTTCAAAGTCAATCAACTCTGCTCCTGTGTCGGTGATGAATATATTTAGTACTCCTGTTGATGTCTCCATGTAATAGAGTTTACATGGACAGGATCAAGTACCCAGGAAGTCTACAACTTCTGGTAAATAAACAGAGACACAGCAAAGCAGCTCATCCCACCATGGGCGAAAAGCGGCAGCAAGTTGGGCTGGGCTGAATACGGAAATGGAAGCTCTCAACCTTAGGTTTCGTGGAAATCCTATTTGGCAGTACTACTAGTACTATTGCTTTTCTATGACTATGTACTAGTAGTACTCACGGTGCTACCTCTCAAGATCGGCTGTAGGTCACACCACTCTGCCTGGTCTCTATGAATGCACAGACAACTCTGTGTGTTGCGATCATATGATGCATGAGATCTTCGATATAAAACACCTTTGAAACCCCCGTCGATTGTTTTTATTGATGGAATCCCTTTCTCTAATTGGTCGTTACTGACCGGAACCTTGACCTACTCGACTTCAATAGTAACAAGGGCAATGTTAGCCTGGTTATATATGCATTGAATTTCTAAATATTTACCAGAACTACCTGATGTAATGATCGGGTATCCAAAAGACACTCCACCGCACCGCTAAGTTGGCCCGTACCCAGAACCCCAAGACATGGAAATAAAAAAAAAGAACATAAACGCTAAATCGCAAATCTCATCCCAGAATTATGTATGTAGGTAGGTCTCATTTGTCGCTTGTGTAGGTATGCAATCATTCCTCCTCTGCCTCGTCAGCGGGGTCTACCCAGCCTCGAGACATCTCGACTGCTTTGCTCCATCGCTTGTACAGCTTCGAGCTCTGTGCCTCAGAAATATGGGGCTGGAAGGTTGTGCGATTGGCGCGGTTCATGTTCTTGAGCTCGCTAAAGTCCTTCCAAATATCAATGGCAAATGCGGCCGCGATCGCGGCACCCAGAGCAGTGGTTTCGTGCATCGCTGGCCGTTCAACAGGGATCTGGATGATATCTGCTTGGGTCTAAGGGAAGAAGTTAATTCCCGCTATATAATGTGGAAGGTAACCAGTGCGACATACCTGCATGCAAATATCGGAATTACTCATGCCACCGTCGACGGCGAGTTCCGTCAATGCGTGTCCGCTGTCCATCTCCATGGCATCGAGGATTGCCTTGGTTTGGAAGCAGGCAGCTTCCATGGTGGCACGAGCAATGTGTCCACGCTGCGTGTGCTGCGTGATTCCGACTAAACCAGCATTAGTACTGATATCTGTACAACTGCTTCTGACACAGCATTGACTTACATATAGTTCCCTTAGCATCATCAATCCAATAAGGCGCAAACAGACCACTGAACGCGGTGACAAACACGCAGCCTCCGCTATCTGGAACGGTTGCTGCCACTTCGCTCACTTTCCGTGAGTCACGGAAGAAACCCATGTTGTTCATCAGGAAGGAAACACCACTTCCGGCCACAGCCACACTGCCTTCAAGCGCATAAACAGCTTTCCGATTCTTACCCAACTGGAATCCAACTGTGCTGAGCAAACCATGTTTGGAAATGACTGGCTCCTCACCAACGTTATAAAGAAGGAAGCATCCTGTGCCGTATGTGTTCTTCGCTGACCCAGGTGTGAAGGCACAATGACCGACCAACGCCGCAGACTGATCGCCAAGGCAGCTGGTAATTGGAACACCGTCAAGCGGTCCCCCTCTGACCCATCCATATCCGTCTGGGTCGGCAGATGGGAGAATTTTAGGAAGTCTGATCTTCGTCCTGTCAATGCCGAAGAACTTCAACAAATTATCGTCATAATCAAGTGTTTTAAGGTTCATGAACATCGTTCTTGATGCGTTCGTCACATCGGTCACCAGGACGTTTCCCTCGGGACCACCATTCAGGTTATACAAAAGCCACGTGTCGACAGTGCCGAAGGCGAGCCTTCCCTCATCATATGCTTTCTTGACTTCCGGTAGGTTCCGAAGCATCCATACCAAGGTGACGGAGGAGGGGTAAGTCGAGAGGGGAAACCCGCAGATGTTCTTCAAGTCATCCGCTCCGGGTTGGGCCTTCAGCTCCCGAACTAGACCCTTGGTTCTGGTGTCGGGCCACGCGATAGCGTTATGCAACGGCTCGCCGGTCTCCCAATCCCAAACAAGCGTTGTCTCTCGCTGACTGGTGATACCGATGGCTTCGATCTCTGACGGTGAGTGGCCAAGAGCCATGAAAGACTTCATTGCCTCCTCGATACATGTGTAAACTGAATCCACCAAGTCGAAAGGGTCTTGTTCGTGCCATCTACACAGAGGATCTTAAGTCAGAGGGGGAAATATGGTACGATCAATCGAGGCAGCTGCTTACCCTGAATGCTCGTGAATCTGACGGAACTCCATTTGATACTTGGCGACGGGGACACCGGTGCAGTCAAAGATGATAAAGCGGGAACTCGTGGTGCCGGTGTCAATGGCACCAATAAAGCGGTCCTTCAAGCTGTCGCCATGGCGGTTTTCATTCGGCTGCAGAAGAGAGCGATTGCCGTCATGTGTTTGGTAGGCATGAATGTCAATGTAAGGCTGTTCCTCTTGTTCATCGACAAGAGCGTCGAGGTCGGACATATCAAAAGGGTTCCTCATTGTGATAGAATTTGTGCTGTTGTATTTTCGTTTTGCTCAGATTGGCGACGCAAAGATCTATCTTCTCTCTTTTGACCTCTTAAAATAGATAGAGAGAAATTGGGCCAAAGAGGACGAGGTGGCGGGAAAATGAGGATTGATTGGTGCAAAAATAGTGATGGTTGGAGAATTGAGGGGAGAGTTTTACGTCCCTAATCCGGTACTTAAAAAGCGGAAGAGGGGAAATGGAATAAGTGGGAGGGAGAGAAATGATGGAATTGGACTACGAAAGCAAGTCGGGGCGCGCGGCGGGGTTGATAATGATACAAGTCCAAAATTGCCCAGAGTCGTAAAAGCAGATGATGACGTACAAGTGACCGGGAGTCGGGTGGAGTTGGTGAAAAAGAGTCAGAAATAAGTAATCAAGAAGTAGTCAGCCGCGAAGATCTGGAGGAAAATAAGAAAAGAAGAGTCTTGGTTCGCAGCAGGTGGAAGTGACGGTGGATTGGAAGATCGGAGGTATGAGGTCACTGGATGGGTGCGCTTTAGTGGAGTGGCGACGGAGAGGGAAAAGTTGGGAAAGAGGAGGAAGAGGAGGAAGAGAAGAATAGGATCACTCAAGGAAACATCGAGAGGGAAAAGGGAGACTCTTTATCCAGCACGGTGGATCTTTCCCAGCGCGGAGGTTAAGGATTACTATTAGGTGTGCATAAGCTTGGGGATTATCCCTCTCTTTTTTATTTTTTTTTTACCCCGTGATCTCTGGGAGGTCCCTGTAGGATGTACCTGCGGTGCAGGTCCCCTACAACGACTACTACCACTACTCCTGCTATACTACGGGAGTCATGAAGACCTACCCGGTTGGGTCTTCCCTACGACCAAGACCCCGTTCGTCCATGGCGGAGAAGTGGGGGCGTGGGGGAGGATGCACTTTTTTTCTTGCGCCTTCTTTTCCTTCTAGTTCCCTCGCCCTTTTTTTTTTTTTTCTGATCAGACGACCACACGCCCGTCGTCAGCACCGACATCCTTTCCCTTCTTGGGTCTGGTCCATCATCCCTCCCTTACTCAACTGGGGAATCCTGGGTTATACATTCCCTTCAGATTGGACCTATTGATCTCCTCCCCCCTGGTCCAGAATAGCTTCTTATCCTTATTTTAACCTTTGGTTCGATTGTCCTTCCTTTTCTCTTCGACGGAATTTCAATGGAATCCCGTGACATTGGTAAGCTTTGGACTTGGAACGCAAGTGTTTCTGGACTATCAGTAGAGTACGTACATGTGCATCGGCAAGCCATCCGGCCCTCTCTATAGGCCGAGTGGCAGAGACTAAACTAAGAATAGTCGCGAGACTTCCACATGACATCGATCATGGACCCATCGCAAGGGAATTTCCATGGATTTCTGCTGCCCACATTATCAGCTAGTTCGATGCCTAGACCATCCGCAAACAGTCGACTCCAATGCCCGATAAGCCATTGGACTCCAAACGGATGTAACAATTTCATTGTCCTGGGAAATTAATCGCGAATTCATTAGCAATTGCTATCTCTGGTTTCAGTCTAATTTATACAGAAGAGCCGGAATTGCTCGTGATATCAAGACATTGCACTAGCACAAGTCCATGGAAAATAGACTGAGGTCCAGTTGACTGCAGAAAAGGGCCGCCAGTGCATCCAGACCTCACCCTCTCATTCCGCTGAGGATGCCTGGCACAACCCCCAGCCATCGTTGTCCTTGTTAACAACAACAAATAAATCCCTGCCAAGTCATTGAGACAAGAGATAAAACAACACGCAGAGAGAAGGAGGGGCCCTGCGGCTTTTCATCTGACTCCGCTATGTGGTTTTCTCATCTACTAGACGCTTGCCGATCGAGCACATGACAGTGTTCAATTTTCTCCAACCATTCCCGTTTAACGCTGTCGCCCCCGTAATCTGGATCTAGACCCAGGTCCTTTTTTACCCCTGGATCAATTTTCTTTTGATCACTCGGATATGTTGCCTTAGATCTTCGCGGGTCTGGTTGATTATATCTCATTGTTAAATTTTTTTTTATTCTTTTATTTTATTTTACTTTATTTTAGTCTATCATCTTTTTTTAATTTTTGACTTTTATGTTTATTTTTTATTTTTATTTTTATTTTTCTTGCTTGACCGAATGGCTTGCAATGTTGGAGAATTCCGCTGTGTTATTTGTCCGTCCATATTTTAAGTGGTAGATCTCTGGGGAACTATTCTTCATTACTCATGAGAATGTAGAAATGATTTTCGAAAATAGAGACCAGGCTAACACTTCCCTGTTTGAATGGCACCTTTTTCTGTCTCGTGTATGCCAGTCCCATATAGGGAAAGCAGAGAGGCGCTAGTCATCTTGGAAGCCAGAACAATCGACCCGTTCGGCCCTGTGATTTACGGAGAAATTTTGCAAGCCCGGATACTCGGTTCGGCTTGGCCCAGTTGAGGGCCCTTTTCTCCTGCTGCCCTTGGCCACGGGATCAATTCTCCCGACCATCAACACACGGACGTACGGCATCTCGCCTACCTGTGCCTGCGAAGGAAGGACATCTCAATCTGACCCAAGAATGTGTTCAATTCGCGATCCCGATACATCACGTCCCCTGTTCTGTCTGCGAATCGCTGCAGATATGACATTTGTTTGTGCTTTTCGTAGGGCAGCTGGGTCGCCACGACCCGGTTGTGAGCGGGTGGTGACGTCGTCGACCAGACTTGGTTTCCTTCCATCTTTCCTCGGGTTCTTCCAACGGTTACGTCGATTTACTAGCCTTTTTTTTTTTATTTTTTTTTTTTGTTTCTACTACCCTTGACCGTCCTACGCTAGACCACTGCTAAGCACATGGAGCTGTGTCTCAAAAAAGGCTCGGCATGGGTTACTTTCCTCTTCGGGCATGAACACTGTCAGGGACCGTTGCTCCAATTGGGTGGTTTGATAGATATAAATCATGCAAGGCAGTCGATCACCAAGAACGAGGCCAGGGAGACAGTACCTGGGCAATAATAGCTCGCATTATTAAATACCTGCCCAATTGAATGGATATATGCCCCTGTACAACAATCTATTATTGTGAGACAAAAAAAAAAAAAAGGAACCAGGTAGCCTCGACGGCTTGATTTCTTTTCAACCGAGGTCTATAATCTCATGACTAACTAGAGCCTGGGAAAGTAGTAGTTAGTAGTAACTCGAAGCAAACAAGACCTTGATGCCTAACCTATCAGGTACAGATCGATAGCAAAACCGGTTTCGCGATTCCAACGTCATCGCCCATCGGATGATGACTTGTACATACAAACCATTCCCTCCGGACTAACTGACGGGGTATACGGTACGCCCGTCGCCCTGTATCTTCCAGGCACTCTCGCCTTACAAGGGTCCGCCGTTTAGCTTCTTCGTTTGACTTTCCTCGGTTCTATCCTTGTTGCTGGACTAACTCCAGATCATGGACCGAACTAGATCTCTCCCTCTTTCCTATCTATCCCCACATCCAAAGTTGGCTGGCTCTATTTATACTTTTGCAGGAACGTGGCCTGGCCGTGCCCCGAGGATATAGAGTGGGGGATATAAGCCTTTGCTGGGCGCCACTTTTTTTTTTTTCCTCGCTTCTTCTCCCGAGGAACGATATTAGATTTAAACAAAGGAAAAGTACCAGCGTCTGCTGGGTTCTTGATTCCGCCTGTAATCTACAAGAAACTCAACTAAAAAAGAGCCAAAAGCATAATGCATCTACTATCACACCTTGCTGCGCCACTGACAGCTTAAATCTCTTTCCACCCCTCTCCCATGAGTGAGAACTTTTTCACATCCTGACAAGCATCTCGACTATGCACAGACTATCGTACGCTTATACAATCACCGCGGTTCCCGGGGGAGCCATCGTTTACTCGGAGTCCTCCTCACCGAGCTCGGCCTTGCGGCGGGCCTCGGCCTCCTCCTTCTCCTTCTTCTGCAGGAAGAGGAGAGCGTTGATCTTGTCCTTGAAGCTGTGCTCGCTGACAGTGTTGGCGATCTGCTCACGGCCGATCAAGCTGGCGACAATGCTGGCACCGACAATGAAGGTCAGGACGAAGCGGTACATGCCGTACCAGGCAGGAGCACGGCCGGCAGCAGCAGCACGAGCATCATTGTAGTACAGGAAAGTGAAAGCAAGGAACTGGCTGATCAAGGCATACTCGACGGGGAACAGCAGAGTGGGCCAGGCGACAGCGGGGGCAATGACACCGGCAGCGTAGCGCTTGTAGCCGAGCTTTCCACCATATCCGGCCCACTCAAGACCCCAGTGGATGGCACCGAGGAAGGAAAGGATCTATACCAATTGAGCGTCAGGTCATCTTCAACCGAACTGTATATTTCGATTGTACTCACCACAGCACCGTAGCCGACCTGGATGGGCTCGAGCATGTGAAGCATCAACTCGGCACTCTGGCCAGAGAAGATGAGGCCGTCGCCAAGAGAAGCGGCGCGGTTGATCTCATAGGAAAGGTAGACAGTCTCAAGAGAAGTAGCAACGTAGGGGACGACACCGGCCATGCCGAGGTAGAGAGCCTCCTTGGGAACACTGCTAAGGCTGAAAGTGTCCTTGATCACTTTCTGCAATCATGTAGGCACAGTTAGTCAATTACGACATACTTCACCCAGGCGCGTAGAAAGCACCGGAGTGATACATATCATGAACTCGATTCGGCACGTACCGCCTCACTCTTGATACCGGCCATCATATCAACGTCTGCCTCATCTTCCTTGCCCTCCTGGACGTAATGATCAGCAATTGACGAAGTAACATGTTAAGAATTCTAGTCCTCTCACCTTGGGAGCGGTAGAGGCATGGCGGATAAGAGCAGTGGTCACGGGCTTGCGAGCCGCCAGAGCAAGGCTGGGAGAAGTGGTCGGGCGAGCGGGATAACGAGCGGAAGAGGTCAATGGGGCCTTGAACACATTGTTTGCAAGGGCCGAGCGAGCCACAGAGGCATTGGAGCTAGAGAAAGCTCTGAGAGCAGAGCGGGCAGCAACGTTACGGTAGAACATTGTCAACTAAGGCAGCTGATTTTTTTCCCGATACCTGGTTAGCAATGATGACTGGAAGGCCCGGGTTGATGTACAGAGGGGTAGACGAACCCAATTGAGGCAAGAAAGTAGGGAGGAAAAGGTGGAAGAGTGGAGATGAGGGTATTCACCCAGGAATTGGTCGAGGTGAACTCGTGGGAGTGGAGATGAAAGGCCGAGGAGACGAACGATCCTGGAGACAGCGAATAACTGAGGTGATATTATGCTGAGGTGCGGTAATGGACTTGCTCGGGGATGGCATAGCTACCAACCCCGCAGGTGTCATAAGGATGCCTCAGGCGTGACATCGGCCGGAATCGGGACAAGTTTAGGCAAGCCAAGTCACCACGAGGCAGGGCTGAACCCTACAGTAGGGATGGAGCTGAATGAATGCGGCCAAGAAGCCATGGGGTCCGGCCATGGAAGGACAACCGACGTCACTGCTTGGCGATGCCCACCCAGCGTCAATGCGGTTGACGCAGCGCGCCCCCCCTTTACGCTGTATCAGCCAACGCATGGTTTTCCCCAGGTACCTTTTCGGGGACCTTTACCAGCGGAACAACAATTGGAGGAACCATCTTCTTGGTACCCAACTTCATAGTACTCCCCTCACGTCAGGTTTTCTATCCTCTATCTTCGATATTATCTCTAGATCATCACCATTTCCTCTTCCCCCCACACCCCTCTTTTCTTTCCACCCGTTCTATATTTAGAGGGAATCTTCTTTTTACCCGGCAACTTCACGCCCCCCGGTGTCGCGTGCACATTTATCAATTCTCCTGGATGGCTCTGATTCATTCACTCTGCGAGTGAACTTAGAGCTCGCGCCTGTACGTCTTTGTCTCTGGGTCATCGCTGAACTTACTGCTGTATACCACGAACGCTTCCGTGCTGACTTTCTTATGCCGCTTTCGTTAACTAGGCCGGCGTTACGGGGATAGATATTATTCAAGGCCTTTTCGCTAGAGACTGCCTCCCCAACACCTTAGCGACAGCCACATTTCGCCATCATGTTGGAAGGGGTGGTGGCCAACTTACTGAATCGCTTCCTGGGTATCTATGTTAAAAATTTCGATGCCAAACAGCTCAACATTGGTATATGGTCCGGTGATGTAAAGCTTCGCAATCTAGAGCTCCGGCGCGAAGCTCTCGACCAACTGCATCTCCCCCTGAATGTCGTCGAAGGCCATCTCGGTGAGCTCACGCTGTCCATCCCCTGGTCGAACTTGAGAGGAAAGCCTGTCAAGGTCGATATCGAAGATGTGTTTCTCCTAGCAGCCCCAAAGGAAGATGCCGACTATGATGCCGAGGAAGAGGAAAGGAGAGCGCATACTCTCAAAATGGACAAGATTGAGGGTGCGGAGCTTATTAAAGAGCGAAACGCGGAGGGGATGAGCCAGGAAGAGCAACGCCGAAATCAAAGCTTCACGCAAAGCTTGGTCACTGCGGTAGTCGATAATCTTCAGATCTCGATCAAGAATGTCCACTTCCGCTACGAGGACTCGATCGCTTCACCGGGCCACCCGTTCGCCGTTGGATTCACACTGAAAGAGCTAAGCGCGGTCAGCACTGATTCTGAATGGAACCCGACCTTCATACAATCTACCTCAAGCACAACACACAAACTAGCTGTCTTAGGCGCTCTTTCTGTTTACTGGAACACAGATGCTGAACTCCTAGGTACGGGTCGAGGCTCCGACGTGGGCGCAGAGGCACAGGGCATAGACCATTCGGATTTGATGGAACGACTGAGGTCTGGTATTGATAACGAGGAAAACAACCAATTCATGCTGCGCCCTGTTAGCGGCCGTGCTGGATTGGAATTAGACAAATCAGGAGAGCATGATCAAGCGGCCATCAAGGCCCGTTTGCTGTTTGATGAACTGAGCTTCGTTCTAGATGATGACCAATACCGAGATGCATTGATGCTGGTGGATCTCTTCCACTATTTTATTCGTCATCAAGAGTATAAGAAATTCCAGCCGAAGTGCCGCCCGAAAGAGGACCCTCGAGCTTGGTTTAAGTTTGCCGGAAACGCTGTCCTCAGCAAAATTCAAGAGCGAAATAGGCGCTGGACCTGGGACTACAT